GTAGGGTTGGTCTAAAATTGTGGAGCCCTGTAGCTTCGTGGTTAGCACACATGCCTCGCAAGTGAGAGGACCTATGTTTGATTCCCGGGCAGGGCAAAACATTAAGCAAGTTTCCTTACTCCACACCCCTGTTTATATAGCAGTAAGCAGGAACCCAGTTGTTAGTTCGATTGGCGGATCGCCTTTCCGGAGTAACAATAACTTCAGTTTGAAAAAAAAAGTTTTAAAAAAATGCTGTGCAAAAAGTTACCAAAAAAAGAATAATTTGGTCACTCAATCCACGACTGCTGAGCCCAACTGGCTGCGAGTCAACTGCGAGTTGAATAGACTTATCGTTACCTTTGTTTACAGTTAAGTACAATCCAACAAGATAGTTGGAAAATAGATTACCAAAGTGATGGAAGACAACTTGTTGATTTGTCAATTCAAAGCATTATACGCTGTATATGAATTTTAACAGAATGTGTTGGTTTAATGGACAATCAACGTGAATGGTATTTTTGAACACTCCCGCGGAACTCCAAACAAATAAACAACACTGATCAATTCTCGAAAATACATTTGATAACCGGCAACCTTTCAATTCAAATTTCAGTTTGAGGTTAACGCAACGCAACCTCAATGAGGTTAACATTTCTGCCAGTAAGTTTTACAGACGCTTCCAAAAATTAGGCAAGCAATCCAGTGAATTAGAGCCGGCAGCCTAATTAGGAAATTAATAATCTCTTCAGCTACTCTCCATTTATAAGTAGGGCAGCTGAAATCAATGCTTTTCAGGCAGTTATTCAAAACTTCATCTGAACCAGCAATATTAAACACACAGAGGCCAATTTTTGTCGACAACAAGTTTATAATGCATCAATACATTAAATATTTTAGACAGCCTCTATGAGGTTTGAACAACTTTGGAAAAATGATTACAAAATACAAATTACACAATAGCAGACAATGAAATTTCAGATTTGAGGAGTGTACTTATGTTCGCAGAGACAAAAAAAGGGTGCATAGAACTGCACCAGAATCCCAGCCAAAGTTAGCCCAGCGACAGTGCTAAAATAAAACTTAAAAATATTACTATATTAACCACACAAATCTACACATCACAACATACTCAATGCAAAACAATCTAGTTAGTGCTCAATTAGTGATTTCACATACCAAATGCAAATACAATTACAAAACTGGAGCCCAACAGACATTTTCAATGAAAGCCGGATAACGCATTTACCTCATCTGTCCATGAAACCGTAAGCAAGTTTCCTTACTCCGCACACACACCTGTTTACCCAGCAGTAAGTAAGAACCCGGTTGTTAATCAATTGATGGATCGCTTTCCAGGGCTAATAATCCCTCCCTCCAAAAAATGTGGTCACTCAATCCACGACTGTTTGTGGGACACTGCTGTGCACAGTTAGTTGGCTGTCGCATTTCGCCTAAAAAACAGTCAATTCACTTTACAGATGTACTGTGAAGCTCTTCGAGACATGTCAACGCTGGGATAAGACGCTACATCAAATGCGAGGATTCTTATTTACTTTTTATCCCACTGCACCATTTAAAAACGTGTTTAAACAAACAATGACTGGAAGCATAACCTTTGCACTATCTCAATAAAATTTGCACAACTTCGATTACCCCAGTCTTAATTCACCTCAGCAACACAAACACTGATATCAGTACTTCGGTTATCAGTACAGTACAGACTAGACAAGGGCGTCCTGATTTGGCACTATTTTCAGAGGTAATACACTTTAAAAGAGGGCACCACCCCCACCCCCACAGCCCTCGCCCACTTAATCCACTAACTTGAATGGTGATCATTCAATAATCAAGCGGAATGATTTCTCACCAGAGTGCACAACGTGTACTATTCAAAAGGAACCAAGTCCGGGCAAAGACATTTAAATGTTTGGTCGCCCCTGGCCTCATTCACCTATCCCAGAATGTTTAAAATCTTGCATCCAAACCACATTTAAATCCTATGTAAAAAAAAAAAATTCTGGAATGATTAGCATACTCTAGTATAAACATCAACACATCAAAAATACAAATCCGCTTTATAGGGTTTCTTCTGTTGATATACAGTATATGCATTAAAGCAAATAAAGGAAAACAGCATTCAAATTTGCGAAATAACAAAGCCTTCAAAAATCAATTCCGCCCACGCCCCTGCAATAAGCAAATCATACTCTCCCTCTGACAATAATTTGTCTATTTGTTCCCTTGCCTGCATCATGTCAATAGAAATCGAGATTTAGGTGTTGATCTTTACATTGCATTAGCTTTTCTAACATTTTGAGTGTAAGGGGAGCGATGGGTATTGTGAAAGTAGATAAATAATTATTAATGTGAATCAAGTTTTCCACCCTTACTTTCTGTATAATATATTGAGCTACTGGCGAGATTATGTCTTGATTATTGCATACTTCATAAATGAGTGTGAATCAAAATTGCCATATCAATTGGGCACCTTCGTTTATCATACCTAAATGTTGTGGCAGTCGTCACAACACAATATTGTCCATTCTACATATATATTTTTCAGTAACTCTTTGCTTTAGTCAATTGAACTGTACAATCCATGCATCTTTTCCTCGCATCCTACATACATTTCCCCCACCTAATATACATTACAATGGTAGATCCTTTGTACGCCCCTTTGAGAATAATTGGTGATAACCATTTCCCATTTAGCCTCATCCAATCTTTTTACCATTAACAATGTTTTAACACATTTACTTTCAGTACTCCCACAGAATAAGGTTTGGCCAGGTAAGGATATTCATCTTTTCTCTCATCAAATTAGGGGCACAGTAAAGAGGTAGACTGGGATGATTTAGATGAGGAAGTTTACCACGCCCATGATGATCCTCACTACACTACCAGTCGAGCCACTGATTTAGAAGAACTGGACCAGGCTCCCATGTGTCCCATATTTCGGGTGAGAACAGAGAAAACAATACAATACAAAATTATATTTGTATAGTGCCTCTCGCGTCTGGACGACATCTCAAAGCGCTGGACAGTCAAGGAATTGGACCTGAGCTGGGGGTCCGAATCGGGGAGGGTGGAGGGCAGACAGGGTAGCCAAAGGTGAAAAACAATGGTGAATGAAGGCAACGAGGTCAACCTTCCATTGACAAGATCAATAGAGGAAAGATTTTTAAGATCCAGACTACTTCAGAAGAAACAATGGTGATGGAAGATAACAAGGTTAATCTTCCGTTGACAAGATCAGTCCTATGGGACCTGGATTGTTTTAGAGATACTGGAATAGACAAGATCAGAATGGGGGTGCTTGACCAGAAGTATAAGGATCAAATTTCTGTCAAGAAAGGAAGAAAGGAAGCCAACAGCAAGAAGAGCAAGAAGACAGAAGAGCATAGGAAGCAGGCCAGGCAGCTGCTATGGGACAATTTATCCTTGACACAAACCGATTCACACTAAAACGTCGACTGCTCCATCTCCTCCATGGCATCAGAAGATCAACTTGGTTGCTGTGAATTTTACTAAGTCGAAAGCAAACCTTTACTGACTATATAACCTTGCTAATTTTGTTGACTAAACGTCATTAACTAACACTTCAGTTGCAAATCAAGCTTCTGCCCCAGGTTTACAAGCATCACTATTCACCTTAAGGCAGGGGTTTTCAACCAGTGGTCAGCATACCCTTGGGGGTACTTCTAAGGATCATAGGGGGTAGGCTAGCTGACAGCTCATGGGTAGTTTCAAGCTGTGGGGGGTAACGTGGGGTGGAGGAGCAGGGGGTGCATTTGGGTTTCCACCTGGCTTTTTTTTTAATATAATCGCCCTGGCTGTTTTCGCATTCCCTTGCCAGGTGCCGGGAAGCATGCGAGAGCCACCCAGGATGGCAAAGCGAGACGAGCCCATAGGTGCTGGTCAAGGCTATGTGTTCATCATCGCTGGGGGGAAAAAAAAAGAGCATGAACGGCTTTGTGTTGAAAGGTAGGTCAATGTTTGAAACTTCCTTCCCCTATGTCGTAATAACAATAAGTAATTATTAGTACTTGCTAAGCATTGTTATATATTATTGTATATGTATTTATGTTAGCACCACTTAAGTTTTATATCACTGTATAAGTCTTTATGTTTGTATCTCTGCATGGAGTTAATTTTATCTTATGTAATGGTAAATGTATTTTTATCATTCTCCTTTTTATTAAATATTAGCTGCTTTTTATGGTAAATATGTTGTAAAATAGGTTCGAGTCAAGAAGAGATATTCAGTAGAATAGTGGCCCTGTGCTATTTATGTTGCTGTTGTTCTTAAACAAATGTGTTATATTAGCTGAGAAAATAAAATCATCTTGTGTTCTATACACAAATGCTGTGCCTTAGAAGGAGGGGGTGTAAATGGGACATGAATGTCTGATGGGGTAGTGGGAGCGGGGGGGGAAAGAGACAGCAAAAAATATAATTTGTTAATCAGATTATTCTGTCTTTTATTGCAACTGTGGGACCACTCATTGGAGTGAAAATTGTAAAGGGGTACTTGAGCAGAAATCGTCAAGACAGAAAGGGCAATTTTGAAAAAGGTTGAAAACTACTGCCTTCAGACATTAATCTCAGACCCATCACAAGGAGCACGCACTACAACTGGAGTAGATGTGGTAGAAACACTTGGCCTTTTAAGGATTTTTTGTAAAAATGCGATTACTCAAGTTAAAATTGTGTCTAGCACAATTTTTTTTTAAACTAAACGTGTTAAGATCACTTTCAGAGGAAGTAATCCTGAGTTAGTAGTGATTGGATCATTTTGCCCCAGAATAGATTCCATTCAATTGAACACCGACAAATATTTCCCAAATTTGAAAAATGAATTAACCAGCTATTAAAGTGCACGCTAAACAAAATTACCGTGGAGTCAGGCTCTGAAGCATTCAAAATATATTGACGGGTCACGCAACCAAGCTCAAATGTAGCAGCAACAAAATGTACATAGCAGAAGCTTTCATGAACAAAGCAAAACAAAGCGTGCATAAGGGGCAAAGTTGTATTTTAATGCCTTTAATGATTTTAAAAACTGTATTTCTTGTAAACGTGTAAGCCAGACTTACAGAACTTAAATGGATTGTTTCTCGAACCAGGTGACTTGGGATCAGATGGCTTGGGTTTTTAACAAATACATTTTTTTCCCACTGCATACGCTATATTCGCTAACCATGTTATACTTTTTCCTAGAGAATTTGGAATCGCCATCACATTTTTGGTATCCTTTTAAATTTGATATTCACCTTTCAGTTAAAGCACTACTTTCAAATTCGGAAACATTCTGAAAGACCAACTGGGCAACTGATTGAAGTAGGATTGAAATTCACAACCCTATTAATGTATTCAATAAATCTATCCCTTCATGCCAGTGTCAAAGCAGTTATTTTCAATTAAATACTCTGATGAAGTGGGATCATTAGTTCAAGGTCGGTTGGACTGTGTACAGTCCATAAAGCTTGCCCAATGTAAAGGGTGCTCTATTAATTGTAAAGTGGTAGACTAATAGGATTGCATTTGGCATAAGTAAATATACCTATATAAAAAGGAAAACTTGAAAGTTACTATGTGCAAAAATACTGAAGCAAAGTGATGAGCAGCCAATCGTATCTGAATTTCTATAAAATTGTTTTGGAGCAGTGGTGGCCATCCCATTACATCCAAAAGTACGGATTTTTTCCTCGACAATGCACATGCTTTGAATGGAACCCAATTTACCATTTTACAGTATTCACAGAAAATATTTGATTGACTATAATCACCACTTGCTTCACTTAAGACAACTCCAGGTATCCATCGGGTCTGCTTTAGAAATGTTTATTAAAGGTTTAATCAGAGTATGTTAAGGATTTCTACATTACAGCCTAGTAACAAGATTGCGTGTTGCGATTGATACCTTATTTGAGGTGTGCCCTTTCTAAGTCTGTCCTCACATTTACCGTGAACACCTCCATGTTGGTTTCTCCACTGAGAAAGCGCATCAGATATCTAATTCTGATCGAAATTAGCAGAAAGTAATGCTGGTGGATCGTTTCAAAGGACAGCTCAAAAGACAGGCTGCCAGAGGATCAAGGACTCCAAAAATGAAATTGACTGAGTCTTGAACAAAACTACTGAACAGTACTTGGTTTCATTCTCATTTTGGTTTACCGTTTGCTTGTCTTTCAAAGCAAAAATGTACTATTCAGTAACATACACTTTCATAAAAATGTTTACCCATCTTTAACAACAAAATACTGAAATAAACCCAATATCACTTTTTCTTCCATGTTTCAGTATGTTTCAACATAGCAATATGTTGGTCCAGAATAGAACCATAGAACCTCCTCAGATTGGGAAATGCACAGTAATCATCTGCGCTACAAAAGCATGTTAGAATAGTCAATACGTTGAACTACTTACAGTTGCCAAATTTAAACAAGATTGAGGCACAACTTCAACTATTCTTTTCAGCAGAAAAGTTCTGCTGTCTAATTTACACAATTACAATAAATGCACTGTTACAGCTAGTCAAGGTCAGATGGGGAGGGGGATGGAGAAGGAGGGAAGAAACTAGCACATTTTAGCACACAAAGCAAATTTACCCAAGTGTAACACCAATAAAGTTCAACACTCTGGATTCACTGGGTTACTTTTCACACCACAACCCCTCTCCTGACACTTTATACAGCAGCAATTCAAAAGGATGAGGATAAAAGGTGTTTGAAGGTTGATGCAAAACTGCTACATCTACATAAAACCACTATTATAAAAACCTAGGTAATTTCCCACATGAAAGAATGTCAATGCACCTTTAGTAATCATTAAATACAATTTTCTGCTGACATTGTCAACAGCAATGCATTACCCAGGTTGCTCGTCACAAAGCTGGGAAAATAGATTCAAGTAGATTTTAGTGAGTGTCCAAGTGTTTGCTTTGGAATGTGCCATATATAAGTCGAGGAGCTGTGAAACAAGCTCAAGAATGACTATCTGCCACAGTAACTTCAATTCAGTGCCAGTCAATTCCAGTTGACAACCCCAAGTTGAAGTCAGCAAAACACCAAGTCATTTGAAACAAGCTGCAATTAAACAGCTGACTCGTATTGTGTATCTTTGCCTTCTCGTTTGCCTTCTCCTGCATTTTTTTCACTTTCACTTGACGTTCTTCTTGAATTGTCACGATTTTCTCCAGGCTTAAGTGGAATACCAGGAGCATTATCCAAGGAATCGATGGGATTCTTCTCCCCATTACCACAGCACTGCTTTAAGGCACACTGAGTCTTGCATGGCAGTTCACAAATGGAAGTGCGAGAGTCTGCGTTTACTGAAGCAAACTCTGGTTGGATGGTCGTGGCATGGATACCTTCATCATGGAAGAAGTCTTTGATGCGTTTTGCGACATCCATGTAAGCAGTTGGGTCACGACATTTAATGTGGGCTGTTGCAATTATTCTACTGCCAGCCAACTGCCAGACATGCAGCTCATGTACTGCAAGGACTCCTTCCAAATGACTTAGCTTCTCATTTAACATGTGCATATCTATTTGTTTAGGCACAGTCTGTAATAGGATGAGAGCAGACTCCTTCAGGAGAGGATAGGTTGTGTAGAGCAGGATGCAAACCATAATACAGCATAAAGTGGGATCTAAGAACAGAACCCAGCAGGGTCCAGCTTGTTGAATGCTTATAGACGAGTTTGTGTTTGTGCCATTTATATGTTCATCACTACAATGATTGTGCACACATGAATTAATGCAAGGACCACTTTCAGGACATGGGATCCAAACAAAGTAAAATATCACTGCATTTACCACCACTATGACAGAGCCCAAGGCATCTCCAAGCACGTGGAGAAAGACACCACGCATGTTGAGTTGAGAGGCAGCATCTTCAGCGTCATTAAATCCATCACGACTGTCGTCGAGGATAGCAATGCCATTCAATTGCAGACTTCTCTCCATATTGTTCTCCCTTAGTAGATCTGTTCAAAGCAAACACCAAAATATTGTAAGCATTTTTTTTCCACCGATAGCATTTGTTCCACCCTTAATCTCTGACATTCAATTCCTTTTGTCTCATCAGACTTTCTTTCTACTTTAAGACAGCAAGTACCCAATTACATGTTTGAGCCATGGCATGGATGAGATGGCCTTCTCTTCAACTTTGGATCTCTCACTTTTGATAATCATATATTCCAGGTCAACTATACCATCGAGTGGCAGTTTTCTACCAAGGTAGAAAATTATAGGCGTCTTTAGCAATAGATTACTGGAGAATCTACTGCATTGGTTACATTATTTGTGCATTTTAATTTGCACACAGTTTGAACAAATGGCAAGTGCTGCTTTGACTAATTGATCTGAGTCCAAATCTATGTCATATTAATCAAGGAACTTGTACGCAATAAATACAATGGACATCCACTAATCTATGGTGGAATCCCAGTTATATAATAAGATCGCACACTACAATCTTGCACACTACAAGCTAAGGAATTTTGCAATCACATCCTCACAACGTGAAAGGCGCAATATCAAATGCAAGGATTATTAATATACACAACGGATCATTTTAAAATAGGTTTTAAAACAGTTGTTAGCATGTGGAATGCCCTGCCAAGTAAGTTGGTAGAAGCAGTGACCACTGTGGGCGTCAAGAGGGAATAGTTTATATTGTGCCTTCCACATCGGGAGGACATCCCAAGCACTGTTAAGTAGACAAATACATCAAACAAAAAGGCTTGAAAGATTTGGGGATAGGGCAGGGCAGTGGGATTGCCCCAACAACCCGTGTACACTCAATGGCCTATTTCTGCACTGTACATTTCTATGATTTCTATTTCTATGAAAGTTGGGGCCTTTCTTGTCGCAAGCAAGACTGTAGTGTGGAAGCCTATAACTGGGATTCCACCAGAGATTAGTGGATGTCTATTGTTGAGTAATCACTTTACTTTATGCCCTAGCACCTCCCTACCTCTCCTCTTGCTTAAAACCCACTCTACTACCCACAGCCTTCGCTCAGCTGTGCTCCTGCACATCCTTTTCTACCCCACCCTACTATTGGCGGCCTGTTTTCAGCCACTACGCCCCAAACCAAGAAATTCTGCCAATCCCTCCACCTTGCTTTCTCCTTCCCCATCTTCAGATCACATTCAAAGACTTTCCACTTTGACCATGACACCTCCCCTCTTTTCCCCAGTTCGGCATCAAGCTCCGTCACTGTTAAACCTCCTTAGACACTACCTCATTTGAAGGGCGCTATATAATTGCAAGTTGTTGTAGTCATGTCAAGAACCATGATGTTAAAGCCTAATACCTTCCCCTGATACCTTCCATTTATTACATTTTTAAAAAAAACAAAGTAGACTGTTTTGAACGAAAAATTTGGTAAAATGACATATTTTCCACTGTTACAGTTCAGTTACGCAAATGTTAGAAATGTAAAAAAAACATTAGATTTAGGTCAGTTATAAAAACACACTGACTGAATTACAACTTACTATTGTTCATGAAATATGTTTTTAAACAACATAACTAGAATATTGTAAGTAATCTAAATTTTCCTATGAACATTACAGTGGATTATTGCAAAGATTATTATTACTACTACCCTTGTTGAAACATAGGATCAGTGGTTACATACAAGTTAAATTCAGATATCTAATGCCAGCAGCTTCTGGTAATTTCATTCACGTTATCCTTACAGTGTACTCAGTCCATACTGTTCACATTTCCACAGACTACAGAGATGTAATAAATCTTACAACCAATATATCAGCAACATCTCTATTAAAAAATATGTAATGGAGAGCAGATTGTGTGAGAATGGAAACATTAAATGCCGTTCACATCATATTACTTACATTTAAATATGTTTTTTTTAACCAACAATGCATTTATTAGAGACACTATGATCTATGGAAATTAATTTATATCCCATTCATAATTTTTCCAACAACTCATTTGCAAAATTTTGGTTTGATAGTTGGAATGTTAGTGTTCCATTGTTCATCATATTCCCTCCATAATTTCAGCAGCAAAGATGAGTCAGTTGGCTCATCATTAGGACCTGGAAGGGCAGACCAGTCACTGGGGAGACATGGAAACCTCCCACTCCACCCACTCCTGTTAAAAACGCAAGCAAAGTCCTAAGAGGTAGGTTGACCCTGGCTGCACAAACAGCAGGGTACCTGGCCAGACAGACAGTGCTATCGATGGCATGGCGGCTTTAGCTGGTTAAAAGACTCCAGCAGTACCCTCAATGCATACTCTGGGTCCCCCAAGCCTCATCTCGTGCCAACCTACGCCTAATACTTTCCAGAAGTATGAGCGGGATGCATCCCTCCGGGGAGAGAATGTGCATTCTATTCCAACAATCCATCTCTGGAATTTCTACTTCAGGGGATGCATTTTATCAGGAGTTTACTGGAGTATGACAATAGTATAGTCTGAGTTTTCACTCCAAGGCCAAGAATTAAAAGCACTAATACAAGTAACAATACAGAAATTCAGATGCAATTTTGTCACATTAACTGCAACTCATTAGCTACATACCTTACACTGTTACAACAATGAAGGCGCATAGTGTTCTGACAGCCGTCTTTAGTTTGACAAAATAATGTCCTAACAGTCTCTACTTTTATGAACTAGCACCGTGCAATGTCGGAGGCCACTAAATAGAATTTCATAGCACCAAACGAGAACAACAAATTACACTTGTATACCTCCTTTCACGTCGGATAGACGTCCCAGGACGCTGAATCAGCTTATGATTCGTTTCTGAAAGACCCATCCATCTAATTCTACTAATTTGCCCATTTCCAATATTCTTTCTCCCCCTCCCCTCCCATATATTTGCTCAATTCCTTGTAAAAAAATATTTTGGCCTTAACAACTATTTTTGATACGGCATTGCATATCCTAAACCCCTGCACTAAAAAACAACTTTGTGCACTCTGTGTTTATTTTAATGGTGATCTTAAAATTAATGGCCTCTAGTTACCAATTTACTATTCGGTGAGAAAATACACCAGTAATGATGCAATTGGTTTAGGTCATGAATTAGATAGAAGCCAACATTCGCGCATCCAATACAAACTTAATACTTGGTCATTTACCTAAACATTTTTTAAGTTATACTTCAAGTATCTCACTTTCACAGATCAAAAAGCTTCAAGCAATTCCTCCCCAAAATGGTGTAAATTAAGTCATAACATAAGCAAATGCTGCAATTCTCGCCCACTGCACATTTGTTTTTATAATAAATCATTAATCATCAGCTAAGAGTACAGCTCACGACTCCTAACTGTGAGAATATTTTAAAATGAGATTAAAAAACCATGTTGAATTGATCAACAATGCTGTCAGGCAGCAGTTGAAAAACTTCACAAACCAATTTTAAACTGACACTAAACTGCAAACCCAGTAGCCAGTCACCGTGATGAAACATGGATAAGGCAATATCTTGCAAGACATGGCAAGCATTACTACCCCAGTAAGGTGCATATAGGATCTAACACAGACCCCAGTCTTTGGATCTACTACTTTAATATACATTCTATGTAAATATAATAAATAACTATTTCGTAGTCTTAAAAAGGAATATCTAAACAAGCTTTCATTGCAGCCTTTTTGGTGAAATTCTGTGCGCATCAAGCTAAGGCCGGTTCTGGGAAACGGTGCACGTGCATTAAGGTCAGGTATACTAAGATGCAGAATAAACTTTAAACGCCTCACATCGCCAACTTCTTCTACACCAATGTGACAGTTTCCATGTCCCACATCAGACAACAGACATCCATCACTTTGTCTCTGAATGAAATTGACAATTGGTATCAAATTAGGGAAAGTATAGTTGCAACAGATCGATACCCACTAGCAAAAGGGTGGCCTGTCTATCTATCCTCCAAAGAACCAGCAGGAATTTTAAAACTGGATGTCCATTGTTAGGCTAACATACAAATTGTCAGCAGGGTGTCATTTCGCAGCATTCTGAAGAAATAAATGTTATTTAAAAAAATAACAAAAAAAACTGCCCAATTTACTTTGCCAATAGTTCCAAAAACTCTCCTCGTCATCCACGCATTCCAAACATAAAACATCATACAAATAAGGTCTACATTCTTATTTTCAGTTCAGAAAACAAAATATTGTCTCTGAAGAACAGAAGCTCAGTCTTCTGTTTCATCTTTTCTAAACTGATTTCCGAATTATTAAAACAAAGAAAAGTATTTAAAAAATATCCGCTCTAAAATATGGACCACTAAATTTTCACAATGTGTAACAATTATTAAGGCTTTCACTTCAATTGCACCTAGATTAATACTACAATTGCATATTACATGCAACATAGGAGACATGCCAGTTTTCACTATAGCCAATTTGTATTATATACATTATTTTCACGAAACACAAAAATAAAGCATAAGACTAAGTACGTTCATGATAAAAAGGCAGCAGTGATTATATGAATGGATTAACCCCGATGTCGAAGCTGCTCACCATCAAGAAAACCTACAATCAACCACTACTTTAGTGGTTGCAGAATACTTTTAGTACTTTTTTATTTTTACAGAGTAAATAATAATCCTTGCATTTAGATGTCTCAAAGCACTTCCCACTAATGTAAAGTGGTTTGACTGTGTACTTTTACATTGGCAGTAGCCAATTGCACAGAGCAATGACCCACAAACAGTCATGGAGTTAGTGACCAACTTTCATTTGGGGGATTTGTTGGCCAGGATACCGAGAGAAACCTTGTTCTCTTATCGAAATGTATCTGCTGACTGTACTTTCCATTGAGTCACATCGGTAAGCCCACATGACCTCTGCCTTAAATCATTCAAGTTTTTTTTCTTTCTCTTTTCTCACTAATAAATCTGTCTCAATATACCTTGTTCAATATCTTCAAAGGGTGATGCATATCTTTACCCACTGCATTGTCATTAATATTTCAAAACTAAAATCCAGAGCATCCCCACTA